AATTTTGTTGACGTGATGCATTAAGACAATATCTATTTGGTGGATACTAACTTAATCTTGCTGAACTAAGATGTTCATTTCAGCAGTACTTTCTCAAGTATGACTTGCGTATTTAGGAGAGTTTCTATCGTGGCTGAGTTAATTAAATTTGCAGGGTTTTATGGTAACGACGGAGAGAAAAATCAACTTGCCACTTCCAGAAACAATCCTGTCATTGATCATGGGGATGCAGGAAGTAGCTGCTTCTGAATGATTACTCCCGGCCAAAATTAATTCTTAGAAGGGTTTGTAGAAGTGAAGCTGCTCGCTTTAAGAGAGTATGTGTCTATTGCAGTTCTTTTAAAATATTATTAAGGTTTTTCAATGGAATGTCACCCTCTTGTTCTCCCTTGACTTTGTTTGTTTTGTGTATTCCAAAAAGGGGGGAAGGTATTACAGTGTTTATTGTGTCTTTTTATTGATACAAGGTTTTCGACACTGGTGACTAGAAATGATTGAACCAATTAGGTTTCACTGTGTAAATCAAGTTCCATCTTTCTTTGTCCTTGTTTAGCAGTGCTGTGCTATAATATTGATCTTTCTACAGTTAAAAATAAAAGTGAAAACTGACTCTAATCAACACCCCTTCCTTTTCTGAAGCTAGGGATTTTTTTTTTTTTTTTCTCCCAACAAATGACAGTGATTTGGTGATTTTCTTCCTTATATCTCTTAGAAAGTGAAGTCAGTATTTAAGTTTCTTAACAGTTTAGCCAGTGTTTCGAGGTTTGTGAATATTTTTTTTTTGTGTTAATAGGTCATATAAAAATTGTTATTTTCTGCACCTATTCAATATTTTGCTATTATATTTGAATGAGGGACCAAGGTATGGACTTTTGTCCTGTAGTTATTTATTAGAAACCTGTTCAACTGCAAAAATATGGTAGCCTAACACCAAGATGCATATATGACCTCATTTGAAGTGGGAGGTCCTCATTTTTATTAAATTTTCATTAATTGGACAGGTTAAATATAGTTGTATCTAAATGAACTATTTCTGATGCCCATGGATCCTGAATCTGTATTTAGTACAAAATGGAAGTGTGATTGAATTTTGGTTGGATTGATGATTTTGAAGCTATGTATGCATTTTTTCTTTTTTTTTTTTTTGGTAAACTTTGTACCTGAATCATTTTGTATCTCTAATGCAGGTGGAAGGGCTGTAATGAATCGCTACCATGACAACATCAATAGATTTATCTGGTGAGTAGAAGAACTTCAATTATTTTAGGTGTTTTGATGGTTTGTGAGTTACTGCATGGGCATCTTTCATCTGTTTTATTTGACTGGTTTTTCAGTTAGTAAAGCATATTCATGAACACTATCTTACTACATTTAGTCCATCTTGAGCTTTTGTGCTTGTACACGAGGTATAACTGCACAATGGTGCACAAATGTTAAAAAAAAAAAAAAAAAAAAATTAAATATCTAATTAATATAGTTGATTATTTAGGCTTCTGTATTCACATAATAGTGTGGCTTTGATGTCTCTGGAGATTATTTAGTTTTGCAATCATTTTGACATTCTTCCAATTCAGAATTATAGCTGCATAATTTTTTTGATGAACTAAGATGGAAAATGGTTCAGAATTAAGTGTTGTGCGGTGCACATCCATGCAGACAAACATATATTGTATTAGGCTGACTGTTGATCATGATTCACAATGAACCATATTCAGAAAGACCAGTTCTGTACTCAAGTGGCCCATCAGCATGGGGACAATTTAGACTTCCCATCAGGTAAACACAAGAATTTTTCCTTCTCTCTCTCTTACTCCTCGTGGTGCTCTCTCTAATATGATTTTCCTTGTATTGTATCTAGATGATGTCCGCAGCAAACAGTATAGGAACTTCTGGCACACATATGGACTCTCTTGGCTGAACTTCGCCGTAAAATGCAGTCTCCAAGTGCAAGTTTTGACAACTAACAATGTACAGAGGAGAAATTTATGTTTGGATTGGAATTTAAAAAAAAAAAAAAAAAAAATTCTCTGATTATTATTTGCCCTAGAGCACCAGTTGTACGTGTTCATTAATTTTGCAAAAGGTGCTTACTTGATTCCGTGATTTATGTGGCAACAGTGGAGTCCTTAAATGTCGACCTGGATGATCAGACTACTAGGCATGTACTGCTTTTATGTGATTGATATGACAAAAGCATGGTTTACACAGTGACTTACAAAAAATTGATCATGCCACAAAGGATGAATGCTTTTTTATGTCCCAATGTTTGTTGTCTGTAGATACATGTCTTGCTGTTGTGCAGTGTTCTTGTGTTCGAATTGGCATAGAATCGTTATGTTCTCTTTCTATGTATGTAACATTATTATTATTATTATTATTTTGGAGGTGAATTTATCAATAATGTCTGAACATATCCATTATTTATGCCCATTTGTTCAAAACCAGACCCTTCGTATTAGTATATGATGCATTCAAATTTGTGAGTCCACGAATAAAATTATCAATCCTTTATATTAAGGTATGAGCTGTAGGGTCCAAATGTAATTACACCGATCCTGAGAAATGTAGATGTGTTCAACACCAATGGAATGCTCAGCTCATTAGTCAATCATATGGTGAGGCTTAATAATTGAATATTAGCAATTTTTACATTAATCGGCAGGTCGTAATTGAATCTTCAAACAAAAATGTTATACATGACTTTGAATGAATCTACAAATTTATGAAGTGAAGAGATTATTCTTGCCACACGGGAATGATTCCTTGAGCTGCCAAGCGCTTTTCAATCCAGAACACAACATGCTTTGATGTGATTTTCTTCTCATCAATCAGAAATGGCTCCACAGTGCTTGCTTCTGAACCATAGGACGACAATGAAAACCCTTTTGGACCTGCCCAAACACAGAATTACAGTGAATGTTCATCAGAAACAGATAAATATTGAACAAGTCTAATTCAACCTGCTGCACAAACCTGTGAGGACTCCATTGGGGAAGAATGCCCAGAAGGAATAGATATTGCCCTTCTTTATAAATGAACCTTCCAACTGTTATTTTCAATAAACAAACTCAAAATGTTGATTTAAAACATTTCTTAAATGTGAAAATGGAGTAATACTACATGTACAAACTAATATGAAAAATCCTGCATGTTTGACATAACATCAATTCTAGCTGTTTAAATTATCTTTATTTTAAAATCATACAATCAGTTTGTATGTAAGTTTATATAAGGAGTTTATACATATGGTATTAAGGATTAGAATGATACCTTATTGTCTTGGAAAGATAGTTCAATGTTGGATAGATCTTCTTGAGCTTCGAGTATTGCTTTGAGTGAAGGGATCACGTCTTCCTCCATCATCTGAGGCAGCGGTTTTGCAGGAGCCTTTGCAGCTCTTGCTGCAGGTTTTGGCTTTTCCGGAGCTTCTTTCTCCTCCGTTTTCACCTCCTTTGTTTCAGCAGCAACTAATAGCATAAACAACAAAAAAATTTCTAACTTAAGCCACAGCTTGAAGCTACTTTGCATATAAAAGCAGCAAATTTAACTGACCTGCGGAAGTAGAAGTTTCTTGCACAGCTGAGCAAGCAATATATCCACGCAAAGTTATTGATTTACAAACCATTTGCTGCAGATAAACCAAATACGCCAACTAGATGAAGAGCATGAATAAAACCAATGCTTCATGATGATTTAGTATTCTCAAAGAACAAAAATTAACTTCCCTCTTCAAGGCTTGAAACAAAAATTCATTTCAGTAATTCCCAATTAAGCATAACCAATTTCAAATCCCAACTACATGGGATTTTTTAACACTTCATCATCTAGTATTTTCAAATGTGTTACAGCAAAAATTAGTCGCTTCCAGTTATCCAAATATTGACAGAAAGCAAAAGTCAAGAACTAAAAAACAGACATTTTTGACAATGAAGTTAAAAGAGTTTACTTTTTTAATACCAAAAAGTTTAAAAATTGCTACAAATATGTGACACAAATAGAATCGTACCAATGAGATTGTGGAGGATAAGGGTTTGACATTCCTGCAAAAGTATGAAGATGATGGAAAGCTAGAAACTGCTACAGCTCTTCCTCCGACTACTGCCATATCCACCATTAAAATCTAAAAGAGGAAAAACAAATTGAAAATCTTTTGTTAGTAGACTGTGTGTGTATTTCTTTTATTTTATCTAATCATCACAGAAATTTCTTTTTATTATTTTATCTTCAGTTCTGTACTAGTTTTAATTTGAGACAAAAGGAGAGAGGGAAATGCAGTTGAAGTTATGGTAGAAGAAGAGAAGCCACTGAAGGAGAGTGCGACACAAGAGAATGGATCCCTCTCATCCACATGAAGTCCTGGAAAATATATGCCACTGATTTCTTATATTTTCTTTTTCTTCTTTTTTGGATTATTTTTGTAATATATATTTTAGTTGATAAGAAAATTAATTTAGAGTAATGGTGTCGACTGTAGAGGTGGATATTGTCTGAATTTGTGGTCCAGCAACTGCCAGTCAATCTCATAGTCATAATCCCATGCATGGGCTTAAATTTCAATATTTATTTATAATTTTTTGAAATAAAAATATATATAGTTTTAATGTGTCTGAAGAATATATTGGGGCTTAAGTTCAAGTAGATAATGTATGGTATAAGCAATAAAATAGTTTTTATTTTAATACCCATATTTCCTTCTCTTATTTTATTGCCTACCAATTCTTTTATATATATGTTGAAGTGTAGCCCTTTTTGGGATTGTATTAAGAAGTTAAAATCAAACTTTAATAATTCTTTGGGAATTGGAGTCTGCATGATATACTTTATGGAGATCAACTTCAAACAGCATCCAGATTCTAACCAAGGATGGTCTGGCTTTATACACTTCGGCCGCCTGCAATTAAGAGACTTACTAAAGAAGAAATATTGACCATAAGCCCAATATTTTTGGCTGCATTTAAACTTTAAAGTGTAACAAAATTTCCTGCATCAATTTACAAGGGGTTAAAACTTAAAAGACCATGAAGTTTTTGGCTACCCATAAAGTTTCTTTTCATCACTAATTTTGGAGCTATAGCATAAATGATATACAAATAAAACCGGAACCAAGTCCCATGAATACTTCTGTTTTGAATATTGAAAATTATTACAAGCCCGTCTGATTATAGAAGAACTCATCATCAAAGTTTTGCAGCTTCCCAGAAGTTGTTGCCAGTGTCCCTCTGCAAAGATTCAACAAGTTTGATGTCTGAAGTTGCTAGTCCAACATTTCCGAATTCGGACTATTTTCACCCTTAACATCTCTTGCCTTGTCAGCTCAAGGACCCTCGATGTATCTTTTAGTGCAATTATTTCAGCTTTTAGGCTTGTCGTTGGCTCTGTTGTTTCATTTCTTGATTATCTTACAACTAAGAAGTAAAGAAAAATACAGTAATTGGAATCCAAACCAACAAAAGTTGATTCAATAGACACCTTAAGATAAATGTTATATATGCTCATCGAAGATGCCACACAAAGTAGGCTTCTGTCGGAAGAACATACCATGTTATGCTTATGAAGTAGATATGACGATCCCACCTCTGTTGAGCACAAAAATTGAAACATCTATAAGCATGAATGATGAATGCCATATTCATGGATACTAATTTTTTTATAAATAAAAACAGATTCCAACCTATCCTGAAGAGCCATAGTCAGCTGTCTTTATATAATCTGCAAATTGTAGAGCAGGCAAAATGATATTCTGATAGAGAAGGAAAAGGAAATTCAGAAAAGCTTTCTTGTTGATTTAGTGATAAGAATGAGCTGTCGCAACTAGATTAGGTCTAGGAACATCTTTGTTTCTTTGAACTGGTTCTTTTTCTTGTTGAGATGGAACTAGTGGTCAACTCTTTTTGCTTAAATTTCTGAACCATAGTGTAGACCTGGATCAGAAAGACAGTTTTAAGGCAAATCAGCAACAAGCAAATTCATGGACAATGAAAAAAAATTAAATGTAAAATCGAACATGTAAGAAAAAACAGATTTAAATAAACACTTATGGATTACTCTCTGAATTGTCCATGAAAGACCCTTTAAAAGAAGCAAGTGGATTGTGTGCATCACTACCTTGTGCTACCAATGTAACCTCTCATTAATTTGATTAGAGAAGTTACCACATTACCTTCCTTACTCCCGATGTCAATCCCATGCTTGAAAGTGCATTGCTTTCCACACATTTCCAAGTTATAGTTCCTTTGTCCTGTTTCTCAAACCAGTCATTTGTCCCGCCTTCATTCCAACAAATACCCGAAAAGGATATAGACAAAATGAAAGGAGCAAATTCACACATGTATTCAACTTAAATGTGAGAATTTTTATGTTCAAATTTCTGGAGATAGATGAAGGGAGGAGATGGAGTAATGAGGCTCATACCTTTAAGCCGTAGTATCAACAACTCCACATGAATCTTAAGACGAATGTGAGAGAATACATGAACAAATTCTCCAACATCTTCTCTCAAAACTATGCTACAGTTTTTTTTGGGATCAAGATTGAATGATTTCTTTAAAAAGCTGTCAGTGGCTTTTCTCCTCGTGGTTAAGTTAGCTTCTTCTTTCAAGATGATAGATGGGAACTCCCAAAGACCAGCAAGCAAACCTTCATCTGGTCTCTTTACCAGAAGAAATACACTGTTAGGTTGCTTTTCCTCAGATTCATCTTTGGTTTCCAATATCTCCACAACACAAGCAGAAGAAATATCATGCCTTTGTTTGGTTTTTACCACCTTAGTAGGAAAATCCGTGACCAGAACTGAGTTATCATGTTTGGACATAGATAATGCACGACACTGGGCTGAAACTGGACAGGACGTGCAATCTGGGTTCAAAGGAGTGCATATCACTGCTCCAAGTTCCATAAGAGATTGGTTGAAATCCCCAGGCCGGCAAGGATCAACAAGTTGGGCTGCTAGTGCCCTGTTCAAGAGTGATTTAAATGCAGTAAATGTAAGAGAGCATTGATCAAAATCATGATGCTATTTTCAAATTTGTCACATAATGCCAAATGCAACTCATATAAAGATACCATTTGAGCATAAGCTTTGTAGAGATTAGCCATTACAAAACTTTATGTGACAAGACATAACTATAAAACAAATCCCCAATATTAGTAAGCTTAGAAATGCTCCATGTCACACAGACATGAATGAAAAGAAACTAGTTCACAGTAAAACCAGTACAAGGAGGGGGAGGGGGTTGGTAATATGGATATCAATGTTTCTTCAAATCATCATGTTGGAGTACCATGAAAATAATTAAAAAAGAGAAGACAATATATGTGACAAAAAATAATTGAAACTGTTCCCACCTAAAAAGACAAAAAGTGATCAAATAGAAAGTGAAACAATCATGAATGCTCACCAAAATTTCTTGACAGTCAGTGAGTCTTTCGGATTGGCAGAAATGGCCTTCTGTCTTGAAAGCACCCTTATAACATTTCCATCGACCACAGGCACCACCTGAAACAGAAGTCTCAGAATATTTCCCCTTAAATAATTCAGAAAAGAATGCAGAACCCACTAACCTCTTTGAATGCGATGGAGGCAATTGCTCCAGCCGTATAGTTACCTATTCCTGGAACCTTCCGTAAGGCAGAAACTGTACCAGGAAACCCACCTCCCTCGGCAACAATCATCTTTGCTCCCTAGAATTATGAAAAAAGGTAGCTATAAAATTAAACCATGCTTCACTGTAACACCAAGGAAAGAAGTTCTAGGCAATGAACACTCCATGTTATAAAGAACATGGTTCCCCCCTTCACCCCGAATCTCTCTCTTCCTTTCTAATTTCCCAGAACATCTAAATAACCTATTTCAGCTCTCAGTCTCTAGCAAAGAAAGGTCTTTTTTAAACTCATAAACAGAAACTGAACCCCTCCCACCTGCTATGAGTGAGATTCAATCCCAAGATCTCTCATGCAACGCCAAGAGATCCAACCAGCCAAACTAGCTAGTACCTACATCTCACAAAGGATGAGGACAAATGCAGCCAATGGAACTATGATCATCAACTATGCATAACAATGAATAAATTTTTAAGAAAAGACAAGATAGATGAGAGATTCTATTCAAATATACATTCCAAATTATCTCAAGTGACAATTTTTTTCCAACAATCAGCCACAAGTGTTCAATCATAACCCCTTTTTTAACTAAACTACTCTCACAACTAGGACAATTCAAACAATCAATATAAAATAAATAACAATCAAGTTTTTTCAACCATCCAAATAAAAACTTGAAAGGCATTTAAGCAAGCCAAGAACTATCCTCACCTCTGATAAAAAACGCGCCCTTCTATAATAACCTAAACCTGCCCACATCTCATTTACTTCCTGCACATAACATGAACAAAAACAATTTTAATGTACAAAAAAAAAAAAAATAAATAAATAAATAAAGATGAAAACCGAAACAATCTTTCACGGTAACAGAAATACCCAACAAGAGAATTTAACATTTTTTATTTTCTTTTTACCTGCCCACAACATAAACAACACTGTACAGAATAAGTTAAAAAAAATTCAATCTTTCACAATAACAAAAATACCAAACAAGAAAAATCAATCTTCTATAAATGCACCTCTAGAGAGGCCTCAGAGAGGTGATGAATGGTGGGCCATTTTTTCATCCAACGGTTGTAATACTCTATAACAGTCTGAACCCTGGTTTGCTGCAACATGACTTCTGATACCCACACACCATATGCTCTCCTTTCCTTGTCAAAATCACTTTCACTTTCACATTCACTTTCGTTTTCATATCTCCAAGGAAGCTCCCTCTGGTTCCTGTCGTACCATTGCAACAAAGATGTTCTTATCGTTTTCACTTCTTTATCGTTAAACAAATCTTCAATGTCTTCTGGGTTGTTCATTGTTAGAGTGAAAAGTGAGCTCTTTTGTTCAAATAAGGTGCTGTTCGTCAAGGCTGTTGGTGAATAGTGTTTGAGTTCGGGACTCGACCACGCAAAAAACAGGGGCTTCTGCGACCAGACAAGTGAAGAGTTTGAATTCATATAAAGTGTTTTTATTGCGTTTTGTTGAGGACCTTCGTCGTCCAACTTAAATATCAATGAATGACTTGTCGGCTTTTGTACATGGAGCTCCATAAACATTTCAGTTAAATATTTGAGAAAATTTAACCCCTCGGTATCCCAAAGTTTCCATTTAACAAAATGGCCCTAAAAATCTTTCTAATTTTTTTAAAAATTTTTTTGATTTTTTCTTTAATTCAGAAAAGCTGACGTGGTACAGTCAGGATTCATTAAACATGTAAAATGGGTTAAACTAAAAAGATTTAAACATATGTGGACAAAATTATAATTAATGAAAGTTATTTAAAATTTGAAATTTAAAATGAGCCCCAACCATTCAAAATCGCTTAATCGAACGTATTAGGCAAAAAACGACTGACGAACCCTAAACCCTTTCTCTGCGATTTTCGCCAACTACAGTCCCACATTCTTGGAAATTTTCAATCCTAAAGCTTCCGTACACAAAACAATGGCTAACATTCATAAAGAGGAGGAAAACCCAATGCCACTTCGAATCCTAGACTTCGACGACGTCAGTAGTTCAATGGCTACTCCGATGGATCATCCGATTATTGAAGGTGGTCCACAGGCAGAGGAGACGATGACAATAGAACAACAAAGAGAAGAATCGCAAAACGGTTTTGAAGAGGAGGATGCCGACGAGAATTCAGGCGAGGAGGAGGACGCCGGCGAAGAAATGGTACGTATTTTTACTTGTTTTTTTAATTGGATGAGAAAATGGATTGATTTGTGCGAATTTGGGGGAGATGTGGTTGTGGCGTTTTGTTGAGCAGTTGGCGGGCATTGGTGGAGTGGCTTTGTTTGGGTTCCAGAGGATGGGGGAAGGCAACGGAGGCCGTAAGAAGGTTGTTTCAGGGAGTTTGGTGGGCTGGGGATGGCAGGAGGTGGCCGAATTTGGTAGGCTGGAGGGTTGCCCTGCATATTGGCAAGGCTGGCCACGCACAGCACGCGTTGTGCGAGGGGTTTTAGAACATGGAATTTTGTTGGCACACCCTCTTCGGACCGAGGGGTTTTAGATTTGTTGGGAGAAAATTTAACTCCCCGGACATCTCAAGTTTCCATTTAACAAAATGGCCCTGAAAATCTTTTTGATTTTTTTTTTTAATTCAGAAAAGCTGACGTGGCACAGTTAGGATTAATTAAACATGTAAAATGGGTTATACTGAAAAGATTTAAACATATGTGGGCAAAATAATAATTAATGAAAGTTATTTAAAATTTGAAATTTAAAAATGAGCCCCACCCATTCAAAATCGCTGAATCGAACGTATTAGGCAAAAAACGACGGACGAACCCTACACCCTTTCTCTATGATTTCTGGTGACTTCAGTCTCATATTCTTGCAATTTTTCGATCCATTTTTAATCCTAAAGCTTCCTTAAAACCATGATTGACATTCACAAAGAGGAGGAAAACCCAACGCCACTTCGAATCCTATACTCTGACGACGCTAGCAGTTCAATGGCTGCTCCGGTGGATCATTCAATCAGTGAAGGTGGTCCACAGGCAGAGGAGATGACGGTGGCAAAACAACAGAGAGAGAAATCGTAAAACAGTTCTGAAGAGGAGGACACCGACGAAAATTCAAGCGAGGAGGAGGACGCCGGTAAAGAAATAGTACGTATTTTTACTTGTTTTTTTAATTGGATGAGAAAATGGATTGATTTGTGCGAATTTGGCGGAGATGTGGCTATGGCGTTTTGTCAAGCAGTTGGTGGGCATTGGTGGAGTGGCTTTGTTTGGGTTCCAAGGAATGAAAAAGTTTCAATAAAAGGGAAAACTACTAGAGTTGAGGTCAATTGATCACAGTTTGTGGGAAAGTTTATCTTCGGCAAATAGAGAAGGTTGAGTTTTTCCAAAGTAGAAAGGGAACCAAAGACAAAAAAGTTGGAATTGGTT